TATTATTATTATTATTATTTTCCTGTTTGCCCTAAGGAGTACTATTGATTTGATTGCAACGAATGAGAAGTTATTTCTATTTATTATTTCCTGGCCTGGGAGTGATTGGTTCAATTCATACATTACCGGATAAAGCGTAAGACATTTTATACTTTATCAGAGTTGAACAATGGTATTATCTGTCTATTATGAATTAATACTTTTTTTTCTTCTCAGTATAAATCTATTTTATAATTATCGTTATGCATAGAATGATTTATTCGTGCAGTACACTCCTCTTCTGGTATTATTTCACATATGAAAAGGAGTTTATAAACAAAGAAGAACACAATGTGAAATTCTTTAATGCACATCATCTGCTGAGGGTGCACATTCTGTACACTTCATTTGGGTGTAATGGTTTTATAAAAGGATATGTAAATAATTCTTATGAATGATGATAATGGACTGATTTCTATATGCTATGTAGTGCAGACTTAATTATTTTTTTTCTTTCTCGTAAATATGGTTATTTCACCAGAGAAGAAAGTGAATTAACAAGAGAAGATTTGTAAGCTCGGTATTTAGTAATTATTATCGTAATTATTTATATGAATTCTATATCTTATTTATTCGCGTGTGTAGATGCACCCAATTCCAGTGCGTACTGTGAGAGTGCGCTGCCTTATGTGAATAATATGAATAAATAATATAAATCCAGTGTAATTCTAGCTATGTAGGAAGAGGGAAAATTATGTTTCACCCGGAAAAATAGTAGTTGAAAATGATTTCATAGTAATGTCTTCATATAAATGGAATGAATTGCAAGGAAAAATTTCTTTAAATCAATTTTTACTAAAAATTATTCGTCGCTTTTACATCTTATTCTGCGCGTAGTGTATTTTTTTTTTTTTGATGCTGTTGGCAGTAAATTAAAAATTGTTTTTTTAAATAAAAGTTTTTTTTCGTCCATTGAAATTATATATTTTTTTAAATATAGTGCGCGTAAATTTTGTAATGTTGGGGTATTAGTAATTAATTATTTATTTTCAATCCTTTGCGCAATATTCGCGTCGTGTGCGGGAGATAGTATATTTTCGCACAGACTTTATTTATTTACGCAA